GAATTTCATTTTGTAAATTCTCTTTTGTGGGGTTTGCTCAATGGCTGACTGAATAATTGGTTAGGTAGCTTGGGTGTGGATGTTGTAGCTCAAGAATGTTGTGATGAGATTTTTTTAGGAATTTCAGGTTTTTATAGGTTTCAAATTACAAACATGCAGTTGCTGGCTAGTCGGAGTAAACTTAACTTTAAATTAAATGTGTAGCTTAATGGATTTTTGTGGTTTAGTGTCTCAATGTTGGAAGATTGATTTCAAGTATTTGAATCTATGGTTCTCAAAATGAATGTGTGATGCAGTGCCTAAGACTGAGATTAGAATCAACAGTTTTTATGCTGTTAACTCACTTCAGAAAACCAGTTTGTCTGTCGTAAGCTCTTCGAAGAGCTGATCTGAAGGTCATTGAATTATTCTGAGCAATGAATGCACTTAATCTTATTTATTGATGACATGTTGTCGTATTAAACACATTCCAAACATTAATTAGTAGTTATATAGCAGTAAATCTTAAGCAACAGCCTAGAGGACATTGCTATTTGCTCTGAAATATTACAAAATCCCATAAATGCAATCAAATCCATCAATCCTGTCACAGAAATACCAAAATTATCAGAAAGGAGCCTAAAATAATCACCATAACCATATAAAAGCTTTAGAAACAATGATAAGCTTATCATCTTATCAGCATTTATGCGGTCATATAAATAGAAATAACAATTAACTCTCAATAAATTCGCGAAAATTTTCCAGAAATAGTTCAAAGCATTAAACCTGCAGCGTCAATGTCATTTGTTTGCCTTCCTTCAATTCTCATCACATGACATTCATTGCTCCATGGGTATGAGGCTAAGTTACTTATACAGTATGTACACACCACATTAGCTAAGTTTTACGAACATAAAAACTAGCGGAAACAAATCAATTTGTTTATGTGTCGGAAGCATGAAGTAGCAACAGCACCTAGAAACAACTTTTTTTAAAAAAAAAAATAATAAAAACATTTCGTTATTTTTAAAAAGAGACTTTGTGATTTGAATATTGCAGCAAGCGTAAGAAGGAATGTGAAGCATATAAAAATTTATTACTATCCAGCGAAATGGTTTTTCTATTTTTGAAGTCGCATGCATTTCTTGACTACATGAAGTTTACTTTTTTATATTATTTTATTATTTATTTTTGCTAACTGTTTTTTTTATCGAGAAATTCCACAGGGTTGGTGACCGTAATATTCTTTTAATGCTCTTCTCTCTTTCAGCTAGCTCAGTATTTTTTTTAAGAAATAAAACTAGCAATTTAATTTGCTACTTTACAGCTTCTTTACATAACACGAAAATAAAAACTTTACGGAAATTTCCGTTTAACGAGAGAATCTCAGCTACCCTAATTATTAGAAAATGTTACAGCCTCAAGTTATGCTTCAATGTAGTTGTTGTGTAATATAGTCGAAAAAAAAAGGTAAAAGTTTACTATTCGATAATCATTCAGAAATCTCAAAAAAAAAGTTAATTCATCTATGTATGTGTGTGAAATGCTTTCGCTTTTAAAAATTTGCTGTAAGGCATTTTATTTTATATTTTACTTTTTTTTTGCTTCACTTTTTTTTTCGGAAACAGCTTTTCAACTCGGAATTCGAAAGCGGTTTGAATGCATTTAAACACAAAAAAAAAGAGAGAATCTCTTTGATGGTCAATGGCATTCGAATACTTTTTTATGGCCTTTGGGTAGACATTCGATATTCACATACTGCTGGGGATTGTAAATCATTCTGCAAGGTCATTCTGTTAATTAATCGCATCATATCAATGAGTATTTAATGTTGTGAGGGTTAATAAACGAGGATTGAGTCCAGAGGTTCAGAATTTATTTGGAGTATGGATGAGAATTAATAGAAGAACTTGGAGACTTGTCTAGGAACTTGAGTTGATTGGAATTGAATTGAAAATTCCAAACTACAGAAAATAACGGCTTAATAAGATTTAAATTTTGGATTAAGTCAACAATCCAAGAAATTTCAAATACAACGTCTAAGGTTGTTCAATAATGATGTCAACAAATTTGAAGCTTGAGTCTTTTAAACTGCTAAGCTCCAAAAAAACCTCCCAATTTAATGGGAAACTTGCTAAAGAGGGTTAGAAATCCCAATTTTTGAAGCACATCATTTGCGAACTCCCTCACAATTCAGATCACCAGACAGATAATAATCTTACAAAAATAGTCTAATACATAAAGAGTAACATGAGAGAGACCGAAAGACATCAACATCATCGTAATGCCATAAGCGGAAGATAATGATGAGTTGTAAAAATGGTACTTGAGTGTAGAAGCATATATAATACACTTCGTAAGAGTTATGAAAGCATAAAAAATATATACAACCGAGCCACAATGTTTATAGAAGTAAGCAGATAAAATAATTGAAGCGCATTTGAATTTGAATGTTTAGGTTTCATTATAAAAGCTAATTAGTATTTAATTATGTAACATGATGTCGGATTAATCCATCGACCTTGAAAGAGCTTTCAAATAATTCAATTGGAACCACGAAATGCTCTGGAATTTTCACAAGAAATTCCAAAACATAACTGGTCAAGTTGCATGCATCATCACAATTCAGATTTTTCATTTGGCCTGCAAATATGCGGCAGAGAAAAAAAAAATCCCCTTTCAACAAGTTAACACGATCATGAGCTTGTATGAGTACAGTACTTGCCATATCTATATGTATATATCACCCGTCATTGATCATAACACTTTGTGTGCTGTACTTCTCTCGTTTCTATCTCACTCTTCTGGCTGAACTTTTCAATCAATAATTGATACCGGATGTAAGTCAATCATGAAGCCCAACATGACGTCACAGTATGCTCTTTTTTTGTTGTGCCGATTGGTTTTCTCGCGTAATTTTTCAACTGAAAACCAGTTTGTAAGTGAATTGTAGTTTTTTTTTGGGAAGCATGAAATTTTTTTCTCTTTTTTTTGTTCCTCTCAAATTCTCTCGAATTTCATATATATTTTTTTTGATAGTTTATTTTATCATTTTGAATGCTTTGCGCTCTATTTGATTTACTTTTTCTTTTCACTAATTGATGCACAGTCTTTAAGCCAATGAATTTCTCATTATTATATTGATTTTTGTAATCTATTGGAACATTTCATTATGAAAACTTTTTGGGTTTGTAATCGATAGTTTGACAGGTTCTGATTGCTAGTTGTCACTTGATGTGATGTTTTTGGAAATTTATCTTGTTTTCTGTTTGAGGTGGGAAATTGTTTTTTTTTTTTTTGGTTTTTAGGAAACTTGTGAACTATATGGGAATACATATTTGAATTTTGAGAAAACTATGTACGAGCAGGAACAATGAGGAATAATGTTAAATTTTTAGAGCAATTCAATACACTAGGATTGATTATAAAGATAGTAAAAGATCAGAAAACTGTTGATAGAGAAAGCATTACAGTTGGTTTTAGGAATGAACGAATAAAAGCTGGCAATAGAAGTTTTGGATCAATAGTTCTACAATTTCGGTAAGTAATCTATTTCTCTGGCTTATCGTAAAGTTGTGACTGAAGAATACTTCCAGGTACAACTCAATTACATTCCAGATATCTAATTCTTCAATAGATTCTACTTCTTAAACTCTTTAAAATAAATGGCATATCAAGAACTCAATCCGAATTTTAAACTTCTTCTTAATCCACAAAATACTAAATTCTAAGTAAACTAATGTGGCTCCAAATTTAAAATTCGTGAGAATTGGTGAGAATCTTTATTGATTGTTTAATTAATTCAATGCTCAAATTACAACATAATTAAATGCCAAATGATAGATCCACGGAGAAAAAAATACTAAGGTCACAGTCCAATACCAATAATGAGACTGCAAACTGTTTAAATATTTGCTTTTTATTATTATTTGAAAAAGATGTTTACTGTATTCAGTTGCAAAGAAGCACTTGTTTTATAATCTCATCCATTAATCCATCCCATTGAAAATAAATTATTTACCGATGTACATTTTTTCCTCGTCTATATTTCCCTAATTTGTATTAATTTGCACCGAGCAAAAGTAAAGACAATTTCATATTTATCATCTGCTCACCCATACAACAGCCCATTCATACCCATACAGACGAAAAACATTTTTCACAAACACAAGCAAGTTCATCAATGAGACGATGGAGAATGTGCAAAAAAAAACAACAATATAATGTGACGAAGAAATGAAGAGAAGAAATATCGTCGATGTCGGTATAGAAAAAAAAACTACACACGTTTTTTTTTTCATATAGGGTAAATGTGTGGTTGAATAATATGTGCGCTGAGGGAGTGAGACATTTCGATAGACAAAAAACCAGCATAATATTGGTCAATTGTGTTTGACGATAGCGCAATTTTTATGAGTTTAAAGTTGTAATGTCAAGAAAAATTTAGATTGTGGTCAAGCCCTATTTTGATTCGGAGGCAGCAGTTTGCTCTTTTAAATTAAATTCCAGTGGTTCTCAAAATGTGTGCTGCGACACTTTAATGTGCAGAAAAAGTTTTAAAGGTGTGTTTTCTCCAAGTTTTCAGTTCCACAGCTTCTCAGACACACCTCGAGCTGGATACACGGTATACACCTACTCCTACTCTCGGATATATCCTAATGCATGCACTAGGGGTAGATGTGAGGATAGAAGTAGGTGTATATCAAAAAACTCGTCTCTGGTTAACTTTTCCGATTAAAATTTAAATCATTTTGAGAGTTCAGAAACAAGTCAAAGCTTTGGAACTGAGTCTGGTTAGCCACAAACCAATAAACAATTCGAGAAACACTGAATTATCATCACACGAACCTAAAATTGCATCAAAAGAGTATCGACTAGAAGAATCATGTCTTAAAGACACACAATCACATTCCGAACAAAACCGTAATTTCCATCCAGCATATAATGCGTTCAAAAAGTATGTGAATATGATTTCCAGTTGTATTAATGAAATTTTTATATACTTTTTTTTCACTCACCAAGGTTTTTGTGGTTTTTTCATTTCAATATCAGGATAAAATTTACTATTCTTTTTCATTCTGCTACATTCTTGTTACGTCGTAAAATGGTTTGATTGATGATTGAATGACTACCAATCATCCTTAATAACTGGATTGGGAATCCAGCCGTTTATAAAATAATCCAAGTTTTACAAATAAACTTATAAACTTTTTTATGCTCACTATGCCTTTTATTTTTCTTGCTAATCAATATTTGATTTCTCCTTATGACTTTTTCTTTTGTGTGTTATTGATTAATTTATATTTATATCTTCACTTATAATCACTGTCGAATATAATCTACTTGATGTTATTCTTATGATGTTACACTACTTGCTCATGCAAATTAGGCAATGATTTATTTCCTTTTCTTATCATTAATATTATTTTTTTGTTGTCATCATCACTTTTTAAAAAAACTTTACATTGCACGACTTTACACACATAACGATTTGCGAAGACGAGAAAAAAATTGTTGCTCCTTTCCAGAAGTCCTCAAGTAACTTGAGATGCTTATTCCACAAACGGAACAAAAAATGGTTTTTTAAATTTTTTCACTTTTATTTTTTTTTACTTTTTCTCTTAAAATTTCTGCATTAAAATGTGGACATGGAAAGAAAAGAAAGAAAAATTATTTTTTATTAAATATGTTAGGTAATTTCCATTGAGTAGTTTGGATTCTCTAATTTCATGCATTTCGTGGGAAAAACCAATTGAGTAAGCATCAGAGGTACTTAAAGAATTAGTAAATAAGAAGAATTATTAATGACATAGATTGGATGTATTAGTTATAGTTTTTTTTTTCGTTTTCTGAGAGCGCATCGATTGTTTTCGTTTCATTTTCGAGCTTTTTTTTTTGCAATGTGGGAAAAAGAGAAGTAAGAAGAAAAAAATTTGAAATCTTTATTTTTGCATCTGTGATGAAAGATTAGGAAAGTTTGATGAAATTTTTTAGATTTTAATCAAATGTGTGAAATTCAAGTTTGATCATATCTTGATTACATCAATTAATGATGCTATTGAAAACCATGTTTTCAGTAAGATGCGAGATAACGTTAAAAACAGACTAGCTTTAGATCAATGACGATGAAAAGGGGTTCAACATTTAGCGTTAGTGATTTCAATGATTTACAAGTTCACATTAAAAATGAACCACACAAGTTTAAAAACTTTTGCATCGGAGATGACGAAATTATTAAAAACTGCTTCAATGATGCAGAAAATCGCGTCACTGATGCAAAAGTAAAGATGCGAGATAACGTTGAAAAAACAGACTAGCATTAGATCAATGACGCAAAAGGGGTTCAACATTTAGCGTCAGTGATTTAAATGATTAACAAGTTCACATTAAAAATGAACCACACAAGTTTAAAAACTTTTGCATCGGAGATGACGAAATTATTAAAAACTACTTCAATGATGCAGAAAATCGCGTCACTGATGCAAAAGTAAAGATGCGAGATAAAGTTGAAAAAACAGACTAGCATTAGATCAATGACGCAAAAGGGGTTCAACATTTAGCGTCAGTGATTTAAATGATTTACAAGTTCACATTAAAAATGAACCACACAAGTTTAAAAACTTTTGCATCGGAGATGACGAAATTATTAAAAACTGCTTCAATGATGCAGATAATCGCGTCACTGATACAAAAGTTCTCGCATCTTTTTTTAAGTGATGCGAAAATCTAAACATGTTTATTGTCAGTTTTGCGTCAATGAAACAAAAAACTGGTTCAAATGCTGTTAAGGCGTACTTAATGATTCAGAAAACAAATTCAATTAAATTTCACAGGTCAAAAATTACATTACAAACCATTCCCCAAAAAAAAAATCACTCTTTGCTCAAATTCCACTCATTTTTCTCATTTTCTCCAAAACAGAACCAGCACAAGAAGCATGAAAAAATAATGAGTAATAAATTTGCATCCAAAATTAAATAAAAATTGCCTTCCTTCACGACAAAACGAGAGTCTAGCTCATAAAATAATATGTTTACTTAATTTATCAAGTCATTCCAATAGCATTTTCATGTTCTCCGCTCATTTTTCATTCGAACGACTTTTTAAAGTTATTAAAACTGTCGAATTCGTTGGCAATATATTAAATTAAATTGATTGGAATAGTTTTTTGTCATACTTAAATGGGATAAAGTATGGAAAACACAAAGAGAAGATCGTGACTGATTATATGGGACGTCTGGATATGAGACCTTTAATTGTGCTTCATGTCCATCAACACTTGAACTTTTTTTTCATAGACGATTAATATAATACAATAATTTTTTTGGTACACAACTACGTGATAAAATGAGTGCATAGATATAGGGAAAATTGATTTTTCTTTTCCCTTTCACGTCTCCATCATCAGATGTGTTGTTGTTGCTCTCTTCTTACGTTCAGTTCCGTCGTCTGTATGTGGGAGTGTATAACGGTGTAGTATTTGTATGAGTGTCTATACGTTCACAGAAAAAAAAAACTATATATACAGATATATCATGGATTTTCCATCATCTCTGCCTCGCATGGTGTCGTCGGGTTATTTTAGCAATGAAAAATTATTCCTTTGTTTTCATTCAATTACCCCCTTTTTATGATATATTTCTTTTAATCTGATATGTACGTCCTCGACAATTTTTAAAAACCATATACTTGCACTATTTACTCAATAGTAGATGAGAAAAGCGGGTATGTCCTTGCGGAAATATTAGCAATGGATACAACATAATTGTAGATTAAAAATAATCAAATCTATTAAAATTAAGCAAGCGAAATGGAGAGCAGGAAGGAAAAAATAAAATTAACTCTGGATGTTATGTGAAATATAAAGAAAAAAAAAATCGAGAAAAAGAAAAAGAGCGAAGCAACGAGTCAGGCAGCTGTGAGAATATAATAAGAAGTTGTACATGTAATTTCTTATATTTTTTTAATGTCTTGAATGTGTGTTACTTTTTTTATATACATGAATTGCGACGAAGGAAGTTGATTTGCTTACTCAATTGATTTCAAATCTCTTTTTTGGACATTGAAGATATCGAAAATTTGATAATTGAGATGTAATTTAATTAAATTAATTGGTTTTTATGGACGAAAATGCAACACTCTTTTTATATCCAATTTTTTTTTCCTTTTCTTCTGAAGAAATTTCTATTTTTCTTACACTTTTTTTTCTTCACTCGATTCACATTAACAAAAAACTTTTAAGTTTATTTTTTTATAAAATTGTGATGCTTTTTTGATTATCCTTGATAATTATGTAATAACCGAATGTTTATACTATAAATTGGAGCAATTATTAGGTTTGAAAACGAACGATTTACAGTAATTATTTATTTTTATTCTGGCATCTTATTTCTTATTTTCACTTTTGTATCTAACAAGTAAAAAAGTCTTTACACCTTTGATTCTGACTGTGTTGGCGCTTGTTGCACTACTTGCCGTGCTTCTGTTGCTCAATTTTAATTATTTTACTTATATTTGCTTATCACTGGATCTTTTTTGTTGTCACTGGATCTCAATTAATTGTTGAACGAGTTCTCTCTAGAGTTTCGTTTTATATTGTCAATTTTAAAGCCATTTTCAGTATAAATCATACTTTTATCATTTGATCTACATTATTCAGTGTACAATACGCAATATACCTTAATTAATCAAATATAATTCAATTAAAAGCCTCAAAATACAAATATTAGGCTCAATGTTTACAAAAAGCATGCCAGCCCGACAAATTATGGCTAAAGTAGAAGTTTACTTTCAAATCACGCTCCAAAAAGCGCTTTTGGAGACTTAAAGTCTACAATTTGTAGAGCTTTCGAAACTTTTTAAGGCGGTTAATGAAAAATACTGTTTTTAATTAATTAAAGTTTTAATTTTGAGCTTTTATGGTGTCAGAGAGACTTATTAATTCCTAAAGAGTTGACTCTAGCTGTCTTAAAATATACTGTTTTAAAAAACTACTAAAAAACAACGGTTGGAAAATATTCAAATCCACGTCAAAAGATCTGAAAACTCATTCAAAAATTTTTCAACCGTTATTTTCATCACTTTCATTCGTTTAATACTTACTTAATTAAAGATTAATAAAGCAAGCAAGATATCAAATAGAACATATAAACGTATGACAAGCTTCATCTAGCAAAAAAACTCATATTCAGCTAATAAAAAGTGAAAACTTTATCTTTGATCCATAACTCGTTAAATTTTTTGACGCTCGTTTGAATATTAAAAATCAAAATATTTTTATTAAATTAAAACAGAATTAATAAAGATATGGCTGACAAAAGTAAAGCAGTTCCGTTCAAAATGAATGATTTAGTATGGTGAGTATTGAATTGGCTTGAATTTCATGTTAAATTTGTGAAAATTTCGACATTTTTAACCTTTTCAAATTGAAAATCATAAAAACAATCAAATAAAGTAAACAAACATCGTTTTAGGGCCAAAATGCCAAGCTATTGCCACTGGCCAGGACGAATTGTTGAGCCTAATACGCCGCAAATTGCAAAACTAAAGAAAAGTCCAACACAACACTGCATTTTCTTTTTTGGATCCAACAATTAGTAAGTTCAAGTGATAAAAACATCCAGAACATGATAATACAATATCTTATTTTACAGTGCGTGGCTTGAAGAGAAGAGTCTAAAGCCGTTTTATGAGTTTAAAGAGGAGATGAAGGCAAAAGGAAAGCCAAAAGATCTTTTTGCAGCCGCTATGAATGATATTGAGTCGTTTATTGAGAATCCAGAGAACTTTTCAGCATTATTTGAGCCAAAAACGCCAGTCCAGAAAAAGAAAAGTGCACCAAAACCAAAAATTAAGCATGATATTGAAGCTGACTTTGATAGTTTAATATCTGACAACAGTGTACCGTCCTCACCAAGTCCATCAAAGACATCCACACAAATAACATCCCGTAAGTCTATCGATAAACCAAAATCTGAAAAAGTACCTCAAACGAAACGTAAATCAACTCGCGAATCTGACACATTACTTAATGAGGACATGGACATTGAACCAACAGCACAACCAGCAGCTAAGAAACCAAGAAAATCATCTCAAGCACCAATTTCATCTCCAAAACCAAATGAAAAGAATCCAGAAGAGTCAAGACGTCGATCAGATGTAACTGATGCAGCAAAGGCTTTAAAGTCACCACGTCGTACTGAAGCATCATTGAATGTTTATGGCTTAATTGGTGTTGGAATTATGGGAAGTACAATTTTGGAGAACTTACTAGCCAGTGGACATGAAGTTGTCATTTACAATCGTACACAATCAAAATGTGAGACATTCATAGCTGAAAAGTGCACAATGGCTGGAAGTCCGCGAGAAGTATTTGAGCAGTCTTATGTGACATTCGTTTGTGTCTCTGACTGTGATGCAGTCAAGGAAGTTGTGTGTGACGGTGAACGTGGTATTATTGCAGCTGATTGTGGTGGAATTGAGAAAGGTTTGGTCATGCTAAGTTCAGTTGATTGTGAGACATCGCGTGACATTCACGGTGCTGTTTTGATGAAAGATTGTCGTTATTTAGAGGCACAGATTCAAGGATCAAAGACAGAAGTTAAAGAGGGTAAATCAATTGTCATATCAGCTGGTGAGAAGTCATTGCATGATGACTGTAAGACATGCTTCAATTCATTTGCTAAAAATACATATTATTTGGGTGAGGAACCAGAAACTGCTGTAAAAATGAATTTAGTCCTTCAATCAATGGCTGGTGTACAATTAGCAGCTCTGACTGAGGCATTGACATTAGCTGACTCACTTGGACTACAATTACGTGACATACTCGAGATCATTGGCTTGAGTAATTTAAATTCAGACTTTATTGCTGAAAAAGGACTCGTTATTGTGGACGAGAAGTTCCGTGAACCATCCAAAAAAGTTGACACGATGCAAAATGATCTAAAAATGGCACTTGAATTCGGTGATACTTTAGAGCAACCATTACCACTTGTTGGAGCATCAAAGGAGGTCTTTAAGTCAGCCAAACGAATGGGATTTGGATCAGAAGATTGCGCTGCTGTCTATTTTGCGCTTAATTTCAATAAATATTGTTATGACTATGGGAATTATACCGAGAATGGAACCATGTAAATGGTTCAAACAAAAAACAATTTAAGTGCAAAAAAAGGAATCAGCAGTAATATCAAGTTCTGATAAATATTTTTAAACAGTTATTTTTATAAGAAACGTGAAACTTTAGGACAAAAATTATTTTTTCTTCATTTATATTAAGTTTTTGCTCTTTATTTTGTTCAACTAGATCATTTCCTTTTAATATTTTAAGTAAAGTAGATTTTTTTTTGGCAACCTTTTATGCTCGGAAAGCATTCATATTTAAAGAAGAATGTAAAATTATTAACAGAAACAGAAAATTTATCAATAAAATAACATGAAAAAATAACGGATTTTTTGAATTTACAAACTTTATCCGTTGGAAAGTATTTGCTTGATAAAGTTTTTACGGATTTTTCACGTGAATATCAGTTTCTATTAGATTTTCTAACTTAAAGAAGGTGAAATAATCAATTTTGATGACATCCTGACTATACCACAGCCTTAAAATGCTCAAAAGAAGTTTTAATTTTCAAATTTGAATGAAAACCGATTCAACGGAAAATTGAAATTCAAATATCCAACTCAGCAAAACAAAAGTGTACATTTTAATGCGCGGGTTATATACGTTTAAAAAATTGCATTTTATTGATCATTGAAGGTTCAATTACAGATGCAAATTCAAGAAAAGCAGAGAAGAATTAAAAAATTAAGTTCAATTTGCAGCAAACTCAATAAATTACCACCCCACTTTAACTCCCACGAAATAAATATAATAAGCCTCAACAGATGCGGCTTATGAAGTAAAATTTTTGACGGACGCGCATCGGTGCTGAATTTTGTTAAAGTTTTATTAAAAAAATTGTGAATTAAGGCAGTTCTAGTTGAGATAAAGGAAGATAATCCAGTTACTAGTTAATTAAAGACGTATATGAATGAGACAATGTCGCTAAATATCAATGATCTTGTATGGTAAGTGAAATTAACAAAATAAAAACAAACAGAAAATTTTCCAAACAGTTTTTTCGTTGCTTATCGGAACTATCTACGTATGTAAAGTGCATCATTGAGTAGCATAAACAGCAATGTAGTCATTTCAACATATTTTGGGACATTTATAAAAGTGAAAAGTGATGAAAATAATGAAATTGAATTTTCGGCGCTCAATAATTTTAAAAATTGATTTTAACCTCAAGAATTAGTTCCTTTAAAGCTCATATTATGCACTATATAGCATCAACTGATTATAAACAATGATTTATTTATGTTTCTTAGGGCTAAAATGAAAGGTTACTGTGCATGGCCAGGACGAGTAAGTTTATCAATTTATTCACAATAATAACAACAAATTCCTAATGTTTTGATTCTCTTCTTTAATTCCTTTAAGATCGTTGAGCCGAGTGATCAATTGAATAAACTTAAAAAGACTGAAAAATCACAATGTGTATATTTCTTTGGATCACACAACTAGTAAGTTTACATTTTACTCTATTCTGGATCTTTTACTGTAACTTGCTCTTTTATGTAGCGCTTGGATTGAGGATAATAACGTTTATCCATACTTAGACTTCAAGGAGCAGATGGTAAAATTAGGAAAACCAAAAAATTCATTCGATAAGGCAGTTGGGGAGATTGAAGCTTACATGAAGAATCCAGCGGTAAGTTTCAAGCTTAATTATTAATTTCTAGTAATTTAAACTGGATCATATTATTATTAGGCTAACGACGTTATCATCACACCGGCTAGAAAGAAGTCAATCACGAAAGTTCGGCAATCAGTTGCATCTGAGGACATTCCCTCAGTTCCAATTCCAGATCCAGTTGAAGAGAATCAAGGCGCAAATCACATTGAAAGCGGTGAGGATGAGACACCAAAGAAAGTTAATAAAGTAATACCAGTTAAGCGTTCAACGGTAAGTTCCTCAAGAGTTTGTCTATCAATAGCTAATAATGTCTATAATTCACAGCAAAAGAAGCCAAAACAAGCGAGTTCAAAGAAGAAGAAATTGGAGATTGATGATAGCGAGGAGGTTGTGCCAGCAAAACGACAACGCTCAATACCGTCAAGTCCAATAGCACGCAATCACAACAATAATAATGAATTAAGTTCCGACTTTTCATCATCTCAAAAGGAATATTCCTCACCAGTGCCTAGATCACGTGTCGCTCGTGCTGTTATTGATCGTCCAGACATCTTCAGTCAATCAAAGCCTGATATAGAGGAATTGGATGTTGAGACAATCACCGAGACGTTAAAATCGAAAAATATTAAGGCATCGTCTAATAAATTTGGATTTATTGGTCTTGGCATTATGGGGAGTGGGGTTGTTAAAAATCTTATCAATTCAGGACATGATGTATGCGTATATAATAGAACGCATGATAAGACAAAGAAGTTTGAAAAATGCGGTGCAACTGTAATGCTTACGCCTAGTGACGTTGTTGAACATGCTGATATTACATTCAGTTGCGTGTCTGATCCTCAAGCCTTAAAAGATGTAAGTAAAATATGTCTCGTAAGATTCTAGGCTGAATTAGCTGTACTTTAAATTGGTGGATATAACTTCAATCCGACGATTAAAATTAAATCCTCTGATTAAAAACTAAATCAAAGGATTTAAATACCAAAACTCAAAATTTTCTTTAATTCCTTCGATTTGCAGACTATCTTCGGTCAGTATGGAGTTGCATCCCTTCCACCAGAACTTGTACGTGAAAAAGGCTTCGTTGAAATGACAACGATCGACGCCGACACTTCCAAAGATATTGAGAGTGCATTAAATGATATCGGCATGCAATATTTGGAAGCACAAATTCATGGTACAAAGGCACAAGCTGAAGAGGGAAAACTCATAATCTTGGCAGCTGGAAATAAAACCTTATTCGATTCATGTCAGACGTGCTTTGAAGCTATGGGACGAAATTCATTCTTTGTTGGTGACACTGGCAATGCTACGAAAATGAACTTAGTGCTTCAAACAATCACTGGCATTACAATTGCTGGATTAGCTGACTCATTAGCTTTAGGTAAATATGATATTATTTGTTGTTGTGGATGGAATTTGTTAATGTCATAGCTTTTCTTTTGTTTAGCTGAAAAGGCCGGATTACAAACAGATACATTTTTGGAAGTCATGTCAAACACAAATTTAAGATCAGACTTAATTATGGATAAAGGACTTGGTGAGTTTATGAATTTTAGAATTTTTAAGAATCGTTTAAGCGCAAATTTTTGAAAGCCGGTAAAATTCAAAATTTTGAAAACTGTTAAAATTCAAATTTTTAACAACCGCTAAGGTTCAACTTTTTGAAAACCGTTAAAATTCAAATTTTTAACAACCGCTAAGGTTCAAATTCAAATAAGCCGTTAAATTTATAAAAAACTTTTCATTCATTTTCAGCAATGATTGACACGCGCTTTTCGCAAATCAATTTACCACTCCAGCACATGCAAAAAGATCTCCGTTTAGCAATCAACATGTCCGACAGCCTAAACAATCCAATGCCATTGACAACAATCGCAAACGAGGCATTCAAAAATGCTCGCCGTGCTGGATTAAATGAGAACGATGCGAGTGCAATATATTACCGTGCACGTCATTAACAATTATGGATTAAATCAAAGTTTAAGAAAAATAATAACAGAAACAAAAGAAATAGATCCAAAAAGGACCAATCCAACTTCCGATGAGAGTAAACCACGACGGGGATTACTCATATGAACTAATTTTGAACCTTTTTACAACAATTAAACAATTTTATTATTATTATTATTTTTTTTTTGTTAGAACATCTGAGAAGAAATAACTATTCATGGATTTCAAGCATAAAACACACAAATTTGAGGATTTAAGAAGTTTAATAATCGTTGACAATGAAGTCATATCGTTTTATATTAGAAAATTATTCTTTTTTTTCCTTTAAATCTTTCATATTTCAACAAATTATATATTCCTTTCATGCCTTTATCCCTTTTATTCATACATAAATAATTTTTCTCTTCTTTAGCCTGTTAAGTTACACAAAAAAAAATTAAAATTGATCGCTAATATTATATTTTATTAGATATTTTTCATTTTCTCACGGTATGATTTGATGTAAAAGTATATGAATAAAAATTATTGAACATTTTTTTTGAAAATATCATTTCATTTATGGAAGCATTTCACCAGGATTATTATAAGTTGAGTTGTTGTTTAGACGTTCCCTTTTTCCACTAAAGCTTTCCTAACCTCCTCTATCACAAAGTCCTACACCTACCTCTGTTACTCATTAAAGTCTTAAACATAACAATTCGTTCACAAATAACTTTCACTTGTTAAGTTAATAAAAAAAAATTACGAAAGTCCTCGTGTTATTGATTGAGAGACTTCATCGCATTTTTGATGCAGCGATCAGTATATGATTAGCAACAATAATTTGTTGCAATCTATTCTCATATAAAAAAGTTTGTCATTTAACGGTTTTTCAATTTTAAATTTTACCGGTTTTTAAAAATTTGAAATTTTAACGGCTTTTAAAAAATTGAAACTATAGAGGTACTCGATAAAATTTGAACAGGTTATACTTTATTTAAATTGAAAAGCCAAACAGTCAAAGAAAGTGAATTATTTTTTTGTTATGGGGCCGTTCACTTATTACGTTCGCACTTTAGGGGGGAGGGGGGGTTGAAAAATTGTAACAAAATGTAACATAGGGGGGAGGGGGGGAAGGGGTGTCAAGAAGTATGTAACGTTCTAATTGTCGTCTGTCTTTTTAAAAAAAGTTCACGAAAAAAATTTGTTCACAAATTCACACCAAAAACATTTTTTTTTTAAATTTTTCACCTTTTTAATGATTTATGAATGTCCAGATCACTTTTGATATTTAAGCAATACATAGTTTTTGTTATATAAAGTAACAAATCAACAGAAAACTGGTTAACAAGACTTTAAAATGCAATCATAATTTGTGGAAATTTTCAAAATTAAATCAATCATAAGTTTAAAAGTAAATCTCTCTAAATCTGTCATTCATATGATGATTAATATGATCCCATCATTGTGATATTTACATTCAAAGTTGAATGAATTTTCCAAAATTCGATCGAGCAAAATGTTTTTGAATTTTCTTCAAAAAAAAAACAAATTTTTGCTTTATATCACAATCCAATAATTCATGAGAATACTAATAGTATCAATCAAAACATCACCTATTTAGCTGTACAGTATTTTGATGTTTAAGAAAAAAAAATACAAAAGAAATTTAACCGTCTTTTTAGAATAAAAAATTATCAAAATAAAATAAATTATGAACGTTCAGGGGGGGGGGGGGGGGGGGGGGTTGTGAGTTGTAAAATATTGTAACAAGGGGGGAGGGGGAGTGAATAAAGTCATTTTTTTTCGTAACGTAATAAGTGAACGGCCCCTATAAGCTAGTAGCTTAGTAACGAGGAGTAGCTTCTAATGAAAAAACAGGGTAAGCTACCATTTCGAAACAAGTTTTTTTTAAAAATTACAGAAGTCCTCGTTTTATTGATCGAGGGACTTAAGCGCATTTTTGTGTTAGCAATCAGTATTTGATTGTATCATTAGAAGATTAGAAGATCATTCATTTTAGTGCAATTAGCAAATAATTACAATGAATGCTTATATAGAAAGGCTTTATTATTAAACGGTCAAAAAATAATTTGAAATTTTCCGCTAAAAGTTGCACTACGAAAACATTAGTTATAGTATAATTTGTTTCAATGAATTTCCATATATAAAAAGTTTATCATTTAACGGTTTTTTGAGATTCAAATTTTCTAATGGTCAGTAAGTTTTTGAAAGCTTCCCGCCAAAAGATATACAAAAAAATCATTAATTATAGTATATTTAACAATTTAATATCTTTAATTTTCATAAATAAATTGTTTATCATTTAACGGTTTTCTGAAGTTCAAATTTTGTAACGGTCGTATGCATTTGAAAGTATCTTACCAAAATAACATTAAAAGTATTAATTATAGTATAAATAACAGTCTGATGCAAAAAAAATTTTCATATAAAAAGGCTTGGTAATTTAATGGTTTTTTGAGATTCAAAATTTTTCAACGGTAGAAATAAATTCGAACTTTTAAACGCTCTCATCACGTGTTTTTTCATATAAAATATAAAAATCATTAATTATAGTACAAAAACACTGTTTCAAGACTTTTAAATGCGTTTCCCGAAAATAAAACAATGGACCTGAGCTAATAAAACAAAGTAGAACTCTCTACGATGTCTAGTTAAAAAGTTTTTCTCCGCCCGAACAAACGAACAAAGCGACATATTAAGCTACCTTTTTGAAACAAGTTTCAAAAATGCGCTAGAAACGTTAAAACAACTGTTTAGAACCACCGATTAGCAGTTCAACTCCTATTGAGATAAATGTCACTTATTACGAACTGTATGTAATTAAGATAAAGATGCTGGGTGATTTTAGCTTGAGACAACTTTCAAGTGCTCAAAAAACCACTGATTCCTTTAAAAATGATCCTACTGTGAAGTCATTTATGAACAATTTTTCTAGCCAAAACATTCAACATTTATCTCTATTTAACGTTACATAGTATCCGAACAACCTCTGAATGTATATCAAATTATCTATCTTTGATGTGACGCACAGTATATTATTGAATAATTGGTTCGAAGTCACAAAATAAAGTTTAACAGAACAGTTTTGAAACAGAATGTATCAGAACTCTACAACAGATTCACAAAGCAATAGAAATCAGTGATCAATTCAATCCTTTGATGTTAACAATTTAAAACAGGTGAAAAGAAGAATTCTTGAAAATCACAATTATTCATTTCATTTTAAAAAGATTAAACGTGATTAAGGTCTTAATTACTTTAAAGAACTAACTTGTATAATCCAGAGATCGAAGCCGATTTTTTCGGCTTAACTCAATTTATGATTTTTTTGATAGAAAAAAGCCATTTGACACCCATTTCAAGTATTTAAATTGAACTTTACATGCTTTACTATGGTTCTGTGTAATATTTTGTCAGCATGTAGCTATATATGTACGAAAAAATCGGCTTCGATCTCTGGTATAATCCAAAAAAAAAAAATTCTAGCTTAGCTTCAATTTAAAAAAAATATCCTTATTTATTAAAACCTTCATTTTCAATCCTCTGTTGCACTTCCTCGTTATTCAAACCTTCTCAAATATTTTTCATTTTTATTACTTCAAATAAAAAAGTTTCTTTTTCTTTAAAACCAACATTGTATGAGTAATGTTAAGAACTAAATTAAATAGAGTTGAATATATCATTGATGAAATAAAAGAGAGTAAAAATATGAATATATTAAGGAGATAAGAGAAGTGAAAAAGATGTGGAAAAGTGAGTCCTTTACAAAGAAATACAAGATGTTTACATAATAATGATGTTGTAAAAAATAAGAAGTATAAGAAAAAGTATAAAAAAACTTGTATCATTAAGACATATTATAAATATAAAAATTCATTTATTTTTTAATGAAAGAAAACATTTTAAAATCATTAAACAACTCACATTATGTGCTGGGATTTTCTTAAGATGGAAAGTTTTTAGAATCTTGGTGAAAGTTTTGATGGACGGCTTTGAGGAAGATGGTGAAGTTTTCAAGAGACTTAGGCAGAATTTAGAGACTATTAGTGTCAAAAGGAAAATTTCAATCCAGAATTCGAAAATTGGCTTTAAAAATCAAAGAAAGTCAAAAAAAAGATTCAATAGTTTGAGATTCATAAAAAGTTCCAAAAATTCGAAATTTCAATAAAAATGAGCTGAAATCATTGAGTTTGAACCATTAAAGTTTAAAATTCGAAATTAAAAACTTTGAAAATTTAAAATTTTAACAGTTTTGACTCGTTTTTCAGATTTTTCAACCTTATTGATTCGAATTTGAAATGTTTGAAATTTAAAGGTTCAAATTTAAGTTTTTTAATTCAAAATTTTAAAATTCGATTAAAAAATTCCAAGCTCCAATCAAAAACGAAAAAAAGTTTAAAAATTTGAGTTAAATTTTTTCAAACGATTAAAATTTGTATCAGAAAATTTCAGGAGTTTAAATTTTGGACCAAATTTGCTTGATTTCTATACTTTAAGCCTGAAAAAATCTAAAACTTTAATTTTGAAACTTAAAATGTCAAAAATTCAACTTTAAATTAATATATTGAAACAAAAAAGCTTAAACATCTGAAAATTTAAACCTAGCAGTTCAAATAATTAATAACTTCAACTTCAACTTAATAACTTCATCCATCAAGGTTAACAATTCAAATTTCAATGAAAATCCTCCCAAAATTCATCAAAGGGCAAAATTCACAAGAAGATAAAATAGAAATGAGAAATTATTTTCCTGCTCTATACTATAAGGATATAAAGAAAAAGAAAAACGCGCATACACATACAATAACAAGAATAACTCAGAAGAATTAAGAAAACATATATATGGGTTTATAAGAAGCAGAAGAAGAAAAACTTTAGTAGATGATAAAATTAATGAAAAAACAAAACAAAAAAAAGTTTGTAAGAATTTAAAACAGAAAAAAATGCAATAAATTCAGTTTAAAAAAAAGAGATTTCTTTGATGTTCATTTTTTGATGCCGGTGAAACAGAAATCTGTTGTATTAAAAACGCATGTGCCTCAATTCTGAAAGCTTTTTCCATTTTTCTCTCCGAGAGAATCACAAAAAAAGGAAAAATCTGAAAATCTCACTCGATTCTCTCGAGAGTAAGGCCGCATAGTGTGAAAATCCTGACAAAAACTGATGTCTGGGTGAGGAAAAGCACATGAATATCATTCAGAAAATTTAATTCCGAGGAGCTAGCTCTCTCTCGTTCGTCGTTGAACAAGACAAGTAAAGAAGCTGCCGTTACAATTGTGAATGTAAGAACTAAGAGCATTTTCCTTAGGCAGAATTATAAAGTTTTTTTCATATACGGACGGGGGGGGGGGGGGGGGGGTTGGTGTCAGACCCCCCTTTTTGAAAGAAAACTTACTCAATTTTCTAGGGTTTTAAAACCTCTTTAAATTTTATCATTCATCCAAAAAAAATTTCCGGAACCAAAAACAAAGATCCAGGAGAATTTGAGAAATTACCGAGCCAAAAACAAAGATCCAGTATTTTAGTCATGTTAAAAATTTCATGAAATGGTTTTTTGATATTCAATTTCAACGACTCTTTTCGAATTTAAATTCATTGGACATTCAATGTCAATTATGTTGTTCGAAACTTAAGAATCTTTAAGAAATTTTATAAAACAAAAATTGCAAACTCACCTAATAATAAACAGCTATTGATCATTAAAAACCAGAAACCTGCAAGGACTTCCTTCGATGTGTTATAACAGCAGGCACACAACCAAAACGCTCTTATCTGCACATTCCTTTTAAAGAAAATGGCGCCAAAAAGTTGCAACATCGTAAGAGCGAAAGAGAGCGAATCCAGGACTTTTGCATTATTGCCGCACATATTTGAGTAAAGCTTTCCGCAGGACGAAAATATTTTCACATCACGAAAGCGAGCATTCTTCTCATTTAGTTTTCGGATTTACTGATAACAAGTTGTGTTTTTCTGTTGTTCTGTAAGTAGAAAAAAATAGAATAAAAATAAATTCCATCAGAGGAAGTTAGAATATGTGTATGTGGTATTGTGTATAGTCACAGAAAGATATATCATCATTCAATTAAATTGCTTTCTTTTTTTTTTCGTCTCTCTTAACTGTTCTGTGGCGTTAAGTGGTTGAAAGGAAAAGGAAAAAAAAAAATCTTTATTTTTCCCTATTTTTCGATATGTGAGCAATATTTCCAAGCAATGGAAGCAATGGAATTGGTGATTTATATTTATCATGATTGATTGATGAGTGGTTTGGTTCGTCTTTGTGATATATGATATGATCTGATGCTATCTGATGTTTGTGTATATGGCACTGATGTGCTGTTTGTGGTTGCGGATGACTTTTAAGTAACATAAAAGAAGCTTTAAGAATCAAAGCTGTGAAGCAACAGACATATAAGGGATATATCCTCTGTCTTAATTACCTTTGTCGCTTTAAAATTGGGTCATGGTGTGAATTCCTTTTTTAATTTCATTTCCGACTCTTCTTCACCTGCTTTTCTTTATTTTCACATAAAAAAAGCGTTCCACAAAATTTCCGTGGCATTCATGCATGTATACACTTATAAGGTGTGTTCTTTTTCTCTTCCTCATTGCTATGTTCTGATTATTGACGGTTTTTGTTGGGGGAATTGTGATTTTTTATTTGGGGGCTGTTCACTAATTACGTAACGCGAAAAAATGACTTTTTAGACCCCCCCCCCCCCCCTCGTAACAAAATTTGTATGAAAAAAAAATTTCCTTGTTTGAACCGTAACAAAATCTTAGACCCCCCCTCCCCCCCTAAAAGCGTTACGTAATAAGTGAATGGCCCCTTGCATTTTGTCTGAACTCTTCTTTAAAGGGGATTAAGTTCGTGATTGATGAATTTTATTAAGATCCAGGATAGAAAAATGAGTTGAATGATGTATTAAAAGGGGAATATGTATTATAAATTTTCGTATTCTGTTGTCTTTTACTTACGTGTTTTAATTTTCTTTGATCTCTTGAGGATTCTAGATGGTTTTACAAATATTTTGACTTTTTCTGGAAGTTTAATTTGATAGAACATTTTTTGAATCATTTGCATTTACAGTTTGTAAAGGAATTACTGCTTTTCTAGTTGATTTGTTTAAAGAAGTTTAAAATGGGGCTACTCTTCTGGTACAATCAGTTTATTTATGTAAACTTCTTGTTTGAAATCAAATTGAAAGTATTTCTGGTTTGAATTTGTATTAAACACTATTTGAATCCATTGAAAGGCAGAAATAAACTACGAAATACACGAATTCTACTTAATAATTCACTTTTAACTTTAAATGTTTCGATTTAAATGAAATTTTTTAAAGTTTAAATGATGCGAGTTTAAAAATTGAAAGATTACTAGATTCACATTTATTTTATAAATTCATCATTTCTCTACAAGAACTCCGAATTCATAAAATCTTCCCCTACGCTTTCTCAAAATCTTCTCAACAAAAAATAGAAAAACGTTCATCTTTTAATGCCTTTACCAAAATTTATCGCTAGATTTAGACAAAAGTGAGCTAATAAAATTCATCTACACAGTCTTTCCAACTTGCACATTTTTTCTTCTATTTTCTCTCTTTACTCCATTACATGTTGTCTTTCCCCACTGCACACACATATCAGGCCTGTTGTTCCTCAGCACAGCACAGCAAAATATAAAAGGATAATGACGAGCACACAAAAAAAGAAAAATTCCATTTTTTTCGTCTTCTGTTCTTTTTTTTTGTTCACAATGCGATGAATGTGATGGAATTTAATGGTATTTTCGCTGCCTATAGTGAGTGGCTTTATATTGCGGGCAGGCTTGTAAGGAAATAAAAAAAAGCTCCTTTTTTTACTGTGCACAGATTTGTCCTGTAAATTGTTCATTCACAAGAAAAATTCGCACATCATGAGACATGAGGGGGGGGGGGGAAATATTAAGTACATAAAAATATTGAATTAAATTAGATTCAGTACAATCTACCACGTAAGCATAAACCGAAACAATTTTTTTCTGGTCTGTATCTCGTTGCTACTTCCCGTTGCTACCCAAGAAAAATGACCAAACATTAATTTGAGAATTGCAATCCATTAATTTTAAAATAAGAAGAATGTTCTATGGAATTGAGTGCGGGGGTACAGTAACAGAGAGATCAGTTTCTGCTGTAATTTTACTAATTGCCGATTCTTCAAAACTGACATGGACATAAATTACGATCAAAAATCTTTTCTGGAAGTTTGTGCTTTAATATAGAATTTTTTAACTTTAATATGGTTGCTAGTCGTTGTTAAGGTTACTGAGTTGTCATTTCACTTGCTTGATGTATTTAAATTAGGTTTATAATTTGCTTCTGGATGTTTGTAAACATACTGGACATCAAAACTACTGGATCATTGAAGATTGACATTTTATTGTTAACTAGAAGTGCTGCATAATGTTTTTAATAATATAGCTTCTATATTAACTTTCAAACTATATCCAGAATGTGTTAAAACTAATCAACTTGATCAATTCTTAAAATTTCTGAACATTGCAAGGTTTTGAGATTTAAATAATTTTTAACCGTTAATTCAGAAATATTTTCAAATCAACTTCAAATCAAAAACCAACCTAATGTCAATTAAAGCACAATTTATGGTAATAAATTTATAAATAATATCACAGGGTACAACTACAAAGTAATTAATGAATACCTCCTGCTGAGATCACCGCACAATTATCAAAAATTATAAGACTGACTATCAATTCTCATAAAAATTAATTTCCTTAAAAGTGACAACATAAAATTATTTATTTCATTCATTTACGAAGTGAAAAGAAAACATTAATCAAAAATTCATAATTAGACACAAAAAAATCTTCCATAAAAATGAGCTAAAAACATAAAATGTACCAAACCTAGTAAAATATGGAAGAAAAAGGGACGAAAAATATTTTCTTAATGCAATTATCTACGTATTTATTTTATTTTCAACAACAGCACCACGAATGAGAGGAAAAATAAAAATAAAAAAAGGAAAGATTCTTTTTTTTGGTAAGTAAGCAGTAACGGGAGGGAAAATATTCTCATGGTTATCGATTGTCTGTCTTCATCTTACATCCAAAACATGATTCTTATATTGAACGACGTTGCCCACACTATGTGCTTTAAGGAAACAGAAGAAAAAGGAAATTTTACGTTATGAAGTGTGTACGATGTATTCGAGCTACTAGGCTGAGGGCTATGATGAAAAAAATCGTTTTTAAATTTTCAAAATATTTTGAGTTTAAAAACTGATCTAAATCAACGAACTTTGTAATTTAAATTAAACATTATTAAACAGTCATTTAATATTTGATTTTGAACTTATTTTTTGAATTTTGACAATTAAATGTTCAAATTCTAAAGCGTTGCTTCTATAGACTACAATTTTAAAACATTGCTTCAGAAATCTCGAAAGCTTCAAAACATTGCTTCAAAAAGTACCAAATTATTTTCAAACAAAATTTTAAACTTAAAAGAAGCAGTTCGGATTGAAACAATATCGACTGTTAGATGTAAAAAATTAAGTATCAAAATAAAGAAGGAAACGTAAATGAGCATCTTAAGACACACACACATACAAAATAAAACACAAAAAAGAGAAAAATAAACATTTTCCTATAAAACATCCTTAAAAATATTATTTTTTTTCCTTTTTTGTTCCATTCTTATCTTCCATTCCTTTTCCCTGACTACAACGCGAGACATTAAATGAAAAACACATAAAAAAATCGACTCGTAAATAACGTAATTTCTTCGTTGAGTCTTGTTCCTTAAAAAAAAGAGAGAGAAAATAAGTTCCTTGGCTTACTTCTTTGTTATACAATTTTTTCTTGTATGTGCATGATGATGATGATGATGATGAAAATCCTTACGATTTTTCTTATTTCCATTCTAGCAAAAGAATCTTTTCCTTAACTACGTATAAAAAGAGGAAAATTGCCTTCTTATGAGACGCCTTTCTTAAAAAAAGAACACGCCATTGCTCTTAAAAGATACTTTTCTTGTGTCATGATTTTTCTTCCATTTGTGTACATTTTTCTTATGCTCGAAGAGTAAAATCTTTTAAGAAAGAAGTAGAAATTAGTTAAATTATGATTGTCGGTGAAATAAAAAAAAACTTGAATTTTTGACAAATTAAGGTTGAGTATTGAAGCAAAAGATTATAATTGATGGTAAAAGTCTTGCTTTTTTCGGGAAAAAATGTTGTGCATAGTAGTAATTTTTAACGACTTTTTGAAATTTAAACTCTGTAGCTGATAAAAAAAACACTAGTAAAAAAATAAAAAATTGATTTTCTTTCACAAAATTGCTTACCGAGGTGACAAAACTTTCGAATTTGCCTAGTGAGATGTCAATGTTTCATAAATTTCTAACCCAGCTGACAAAGTTCTACAATTTGTTTTACCGAGATGACATAATTCCATGCCGTGATGACAAAACTTCAAGCCGAGATGATAAGTTTTTGAACATTTCGAATCAAGATGGGAAAATTCCATACCGCGATGATCAAATTTTATGCCGTGATGAGAAAACAACTTGCAGAGATGATGACACTTTGAAAGTTTCAAGTCGTGATGACAAACTTATTTGCCGAGATGATAAAGCATTTAATTCAATTTTATGCCGTGATAACAAAACTCACAAAATTGCGTGCCGAGATGAAAAAACATTCAAAATTGCATCCCGAGATGACAAAATTCTTTAGAAATTTATTTGCCTAGATGACAAAATTCTTTAAAATTTCTAGTCGAGATGATAAAATTTTTTGTACTGATAACATTGAAAATTGCATAAATTATTTAGAAAGAAAAACTTCAAAAACTTTTGATTAAATTTAATAATAATAATAAAATTAAATTTTCAAGAAAGTCAAAGTTCAACAAATTTTACCGTCCAGAGCTTATCAAGATGAAAAAAAAAGTAAGCAAAACAACAAACAACATCAGAAATAATCAGATCAAGCACAAATAATTTTCCAACCCCCCGAAAAAAAAAAATGTTGCAAATCATTGCAAAATATGAGTTTTTCTCAAAAACTTCTCGAGACTTCTTATTATTTATTTAACGAAGCAAAATAAAGAACAGAAGCTACAACCAACAAACCAGATTCTTCCGTGAGAATCTTTAACCAATCTCATTAAACTTCAAGGCCTCCCCTTTACACCAAATGCTGTTTACTGCTTGTTCCATCTTTTGCTTCATGCAAACTCTATAATCATCTAACTTTTGCCCTCCTTTATTCTATCTTTTTTTGATGCCTTTTGTGTGTACTTTTTTTCACATTTACATTTCTGTACATTCAACTCCTTTCTTTGCGCTTTTAATAATGTATCCTTTTTACAATTTTATTCTCAGCTTATAAGCAAAAAAATTTCATTTTTTTGCCACAATTTTTATGTTTGTCACTAGGGATGGAGTAAGGACATTATTTAAATTTTTTTTATTTTACACCCCCCCCCCCCCCCTCCACGTACCAATGGGGCAACAAAATTCCAAAATTTCCTATTAACCATGTATTTACCCAGGGGACCTTACCCTAGACTAAGTTAAATTGTATCCTTACTTCGCATTAAAAACTGGCCCCTGTTTCAAGAACATATCAAATGATGAGTATTTACCCCAGGCATCATGAAAAATAATCAAAAATCTCATACATAAGGCAATTTTGGTAGAGGGTCGTTAAACTATTTACAACGGGGGTCCATTTTATTTATCTAACTTGGCTAGCAATAAACCCTGCTACACTCCTAGCCTAGTTTATACTAGTAGGGCATTAAACGTTCGAGGAATTGGCTAGTCCTTCGCCATTGAAAGGATTCCATAAATTTTGCTAGACTACTAAACTAGTAATCCATCCTCTTCGCCTTCCAAAATAAAATCCCTGACTCTTTCCCTGCGTTGTACAATACTTTTTTCAACTGCTGCTGTTGCTATATTCTTTGTGTATATGCTTTTAAGGCACTTTTCTCACTCACAATACTTTTAACTGTGCTATAAAGTATATTGTATTGTAGCTCAGCTCCTTCAATTTATATATATGCTTTCAAATAAGTATGTAAGAAATGAATGAATGAATGAATGGATGTGGGAGGTCGAAGGAGTATGGTGGCTGTAGATTGTTGTCATAAAATGGGCTGGTAAGGTAATATTTGAATGAAAAATGAATGCTTTTAAAATGCCTTAGAGCGTGATGTGATGCGGAAGACCTTTTAGCGAACTGAAAGCGAAAAGAAAAGGAGGATAAACGAAGTTGCAAAACGCATTTCCCAGGGTTTATTTTACCTTTTTTGTGCTATTCTTTCCTCTCCATAATTTTATTTTATTGATGAGATTGTGACAGGAGTGGGTTGAGTTTTGGGTGGAAATGGCGCATTTGTTGATAAATTGAGATTTAGAGGGTATTTGAGGATTTGAGATGACAGTTTGGGAATGGAACAGTAAGTTAAAATTAGCATGTTTATAACGTATATCAAAGACACATTTGAATGCTACAAAATTTTATCCAAGACTCATAAAAAGATACAAAAATTTGTGAAATTAGCTTTATTCATTAATTAAATGATTATCAGGAGAGTTCCTAATGTCAGTTTATTAATGAAGCTATAAAATGATCAATAAATGTGTGAAAATGAGTGAAATGTAGTCAAGTTTATCAAAAGAAGCATTGGTTAAAAAACTGGATCCAAAAATTACAATTTTTCGATTGAATCTTGATCTTTAATCCAGTTTAAGCCACAAAACTTCGAAAACAGCATCTTTATCCATTATTTACACGTATCAATACAATATTTCCAATTTCTAACGAAATTCTTAACAAAAGGGTTCAATTTCAATAGCATAACCTAAAAAATGGTCCAAAATTACCAAAAAAACTCTCCAGCTTCTAATAATAACCCCCAAAGTGTTCTAAAAATTCACATTTTCTAAGAAGGTGCACATAGTACGCAAAGCTGGGGAGAGAAAAGGCAAAAGTAGAAAAGAAACTTTTCCTCTTCATTTCCTGCCTCTCCCCTTCTCATTCACACGATAAGAATTGAAACGACGATAATTAAAGGCGAAAAATGAAGATGAAAATGAAGAAGCAAAGCAGAAGTGAATGAGCGAGTAAGTGCAAAAACAGGAGAGAAAGAAGAAAATTTTAAGTAATATTAGATTGTTATTTTATATGAATTTTTAGAGGGTAAAGAACCTATTAACAATAAGTTATGACTTGAGACCCTTTTCACTTCACAGTTTTCGGTGCCACTGGCACATTATTACACCTCACAAATAAAATTCTGTGTACTGTTTGTATTAATTATTTATTGGTATATTGGAATTATCATATTACATTCTTGAACGAGACCTGAATGAAGAAGAAGGCTGTTTAGAAGTATTTATCACACATTTAACATCCTATCAGGTGATAATTGCGAGTAGGAAAATTTGATAAGGCAGAGAAATTTATTTTCTTTTAATTTGGCATTTTCGAGGAACAATTTAATGGCATATTCATGCAGAATACACGGAATTGTTCATAAGTTTGCGTTTGTGTATTTTTATTGGCATATTAACATGAACGTTGAGTGGAAATAGGGAATATTTAGATAGTGATGTGCTGAAATTGCCTATTTGGAAAAGTTACTTAAACAGATACTTAATTAAATTAATTGAATCAATTCTTTCTGATTTTCTCCATTCATTAATGGCTGACTATAATCGTTAAGTATGGAATTTTCACGAAATATGAATTGCGTTTGGGGAATTAGAATCTAGAGCGTTGAGAGAAGATTTTTGGAGGTACTTAAGAATTCTCAAATGAGCTCAAATGTTTACTTGACTAAGCTTGCTGTTAAGCAGAATTTAACACAGTCAAGTTCTAACGATAGTCACAAAAAGAGTCTTTAAAATGTGGATGGTATTGATTGAGCCAAGGCGTGGAAACCATCACCAATATCCCATTTATCCCTGAGCCTGTATGCATTAGAATTGAGACATCCCATCATATGAACACACAGTGAAATTACACGTCCAATACACTAAGGATACGCTGGGATATCTTTATTATCGTGCATACATGCTCAGGAATTTTTTGAGTTTTTTTTGGGATATGTGGGATAATTGGGATAGTTTCCACGCCTTGGATTGAGCAGTGACGGATATTTTAACGAGAGTAAGATTCTCAAAGCCAAGAACGGATTACGTACTAGGTTCAAAATTCTTGGTTTTATATTAGCTTTAAGTTTCAAAAAACTAGAAAATTAGTGAACTAGATTTAATATTGCTTAAAAATTACTTAACACTTACTTTTAAAAAGCGTTAGGGCCAGTTCTTAAGGTTACTCAAGACTTCAAGCTAATTCTGATGCTGCCTTACCCTAGTCATCGACAAATTTTGTTTTGAAGCACATCGAATATCTTTCCTACTCTTAGATGCCTCTTGTAGCCTTAGAAACTGGTTATAGGAGTAAGGTATTACTAATTATTGACTATAAACTGATTTTAAAAAGATTAAAGCTAGCTAAAATCTTACCAATACTAAAGCTAGTTCTAATCTTGAATTTTCTCAGTGCTACAGAATATGCTTACTCCGTATCATCATGTAAGACTTCTGATCTCCAATATTTATGTAGAATCAAGCTATAAACACAATCTATCGCTTTCAACATAAATGAAAACCAAACAATTCGAATTCTAAGCTTCATTATTCACATTTTCTATTCACAACTTTTGTGCGTCTCCATCAATGATAATTCTGATTTGTGACGACGAGATGTGGAAGCAAAACATTGACATAAGAAGAAGAAGAAGTTGTGAATAAATGAAAAATTCGCCTAATACATTAAATTATACAGATTGTTGACTTTTTTTGCTCCTCCAACTTTTCACTTCTTTATTTTTCTTTCCGAAATATATAAAAATATTTCTTCTTTTCCTGATAATTCACAACGAAAGCATAAAAATTTCTTAACAATCTTTCAAAAAAATTTTTTCTTTCTTGTTCCTCATCCACATTTTCGCAACGACTAGAAAGAAGAATGAAAATTTTTGTGCACTCGAATGGAAATTATTTATAACATGAGACAAAAAAAATTTTATTTCGTCTTTCACACACACTTGCAATTCTCTCATAAGACTTATAATCAAAAAATATATATAACAAGATAAGCAGGAAGAAAAAAAAAGAAATTTTTTGTAGCAAAAATTTTACGGTATGATGATTGCTTGTTCATTCACTTTAATTGGCTTATTGTGTCAGGTATGGTTCAGAAGATAAGGAAGAAGGAATGATGAATTTTAGATTTTTAAGATTTATTGTGTTCAAATCCTTGAGATTTGAGATTATTTTATTCTTCCTCATCTTTTTTAAAAAGCTTTATAAGTTTGTGTGTCTCGGAGATGGGACATTTGATGGAATTTATAAAAAAAATATATTGTAGTTCCAAATACACTTAGACATCTTGTTTAAGATACATTAAGTGACCTAGTTTTTAATGACAATATTCTGTGATTTTTGTGTACGGAAAGAAAGGTACAAGGGATGCTAGACCTTTGCTACATCTCCAAAAATCATACCTATTGTATTAAGTGATCAGTCTATAGTAGGAATCGAACCCACGCCCTTACATAAAATGATTTCATATATCTAGTTTGCTGCCTAACCATTTTGCTGTTGAGGTATTACTCTCGCACTGGCAGATACACTTACATATGGTTCGATACTCAAGAGTCTTCTCTGCTCCAATCTA